AAATAATTATCTTATGAAATTTCTAATCATAAGCAATGTATTTAGGAATTTGTATTTAGGAATTCCTATTGTTGTGTAGTTTTATTAATTTATTGCAGTTTAATTACCAACTCCACAGCTCCCTTTAACCTGCAACTACTGTAGTAGTGCAAAAGAAGGAAAGGGGGGGGGCTTCAAAACATCAAGAACAAAAAGTCTTGGGAGCAGGGTTTACAAAAGCACACATCCTCTACTAAGAATCAGCAATTTTCTTAGCACACTGGTTGCTTTATCATTTTTAAGTGTTGTCAAAATGGGCACAACTATCTTGCCTCAGAATGTGTGACATCTCTTTGGACCCAGCACATTGGTGCATTGAGTTGTAATGTATAAAGCAGTGTAAAGATGTCAGGAAAAGATACTGACATCATGAAAACCATCTTTCCTGTCCTATCCCAAAGAAATCATCTTCCCCTTTTTCATAACCAGCTGAACAAAGAACTTCAATAATCATGTAAGGCAAGGATTATTTTTCCCCAGCAAGGCTTCCAAGAAAGTTAGTTTATTGCCCTGATATGGTTGCCTGATTGAGCCCAGTGCCTCTAAGGTTGCGTGCTCAAAGATGATAAGCCTGCTTTACCTGGGCTGATAAAAACCTAGATGAACTGCACTGAAATCTAGGAATTCATTTCAGGGACTGTATACATCCAGCAACTAAAATAACAGAAGATGGCTAAAATCTAGAATTCAACTCATGTATTCAAGAAATCCCCGATGGAAAATATTTGCATACTTCATTGCTCCTAGGGAAGAAGAGCACTGTCACACCAAGTAGCTACATGGTGTTATTTTGAGAAGGTGAACTCTCTGTCTCACTGCTGGTGCATGGCAGGAAAGAACTGTGAGGCTCATCGGTATTATTTTCATGGAAGTGAAAATTCATGTGAGCATAAAACAGCAAAGCACAATTGGATTAAAACAAAATAATTTGTATCTTTAGGAGAAGCTTGGGAAAATATAAATGACTTTCATATTTTTCAGAGAACCCAGCTGCCAAGAAGTAGTGTGCACTTCATTTGATTCTGGGACGTGATCTATGAACATAGCTTACAAAGGATGCTAAGTGCTGGACTTCAGTTACCCCACATGAACACACCCAACATGTCTTGGTAGCAGTACATGTCAGAAGAGCAATAATAATGGACCAATTCTCTTTCAAGAAAGTGTGCATCTGATGACTGTCTTCTCAATGAGGAACTTCTGTCTCCAAGGGATACATTGTCCTTAGGAATGGTTTGCAAGGGAGTGATCTAGACAAATATCTAGACTGGTTTTCTATTTCTGTTTCCAACAGATATGGTCACAAGTCATCCCTGTTCCTATAGACCACCATCTATTTAACCCTTCCTGAAGACAGGCTTAAAATTTCAGAAACCAGAAACCTTCTGCTTATCCGATAGTCAAAAACATAAGCTTGTTTTCTATTTCTATTTCCAACTGATATGGTCACAAGTCATCCCTGTTCCTATAAACCAGGAGTCTCCAAACTACGGCCTGCAGGCCACATATGGCCCGCCTTGCCATTTAATCTGGCCTGTTCCCTTAACCCTGTGTGTGCAGGGGGGGCTGGGCATCTCTGTTTTGGGTGCATCTGTGCAGGGGCTGCCAGGCAGGCACATGGGGTGTGCTTGCATGCACGTTCCTGTTCCTTTGGCCTTCTAAGATCTTGGAAGTATCCAATGTGGCCCTCAAGGTAAAAAGTTTGGAGACCCCTGCCATAGAACACAATGCATTTAGCTCTTCCTAAATACAGGCTTAAAATTTCAGAAACTAGAAAGCTTCTGTTTGTCTGATAGTCAAAAACATGAGCAGGACCCTAAAATATATACCAAAAGGAAATAAGAAAACAATACAATGCGAAGTGTGAAAAGATTGGTCAAACATTTCTTTGCTCTATGCTCTGAATGAAGTTTGATTTCAGAGACTATGAAGATTATTATTGCCCTCCATCATCTGACAACCATTATAGATTAAGGACAAGAAACAGCAGCATTCCTTTGGACTAAGACAAAATGAGCTTTCTTCCTTTTGCCCAAAGACAAGCAGGTGGGAGGGGGAAGGTTAATTTCAAAAATAAAAAACAAAGCAGTGAGCAGGTTCTGTATATCTTTACACAAGATACACTATAAATTCTGTGGCTGGGGTCAAATTCTACCACACTGCTTTCATTTCTAATATAGCTGAAAGAGGTTTCAGAGACAACTTGTTTCCCATGTAACCCACAAATATTTCTTTTGTCCTTCCGTTATCTCGGGTGAAACAGATTCTAGAAATTAAAAACATAAAACTTATTTATTGGAGTTGGAAAGGGATGAATGTATACCAAATGCAATAATTCTTTCAAGCCACCACTGCTACTGAAAAAAGTAACATGTCTGTCTCCACTTTAGGACAATGGAATCAATGTTCTGGCTGTCCAAATATCCCACATTCCAGTCTGTACTATGCTTTGCCGTTTGAGGTATTCAGGAAACATTGGACAAAATCCTCTAGGCAAATAGCTTAACTTGCCACAGGTTAAGAAGTTACCATAGACTTTCTCAGTTGCAACTGATAATGTCTATTGTGATTTCTTAATTTGGGGGCAATTTGTCTCTAAAAGTTACACCATTAGTGCTATGCTAGCATAACTAAATAAGAAGATTTGGATCACTGCCTGTTAGTGTTATTAAGGAAAGTGACCACTACAGGATAATCCCCCATTGCACAGTGACTATGCATTAAAAGAACAACTTGGAAGAAGAATTTGAAGATTCATATTTTAAAGAGATTTCAGAAATATGACTGGCTCATATCTAAACATATGGAACAGGAATTCAACAATCTTATCCACAAGATTAGAATATTTGAGATTAAAGCTGCAACAGATGAATCTCAAAATTGGTGAGAAATGCAAGTCCCTATGTAGCATTAAGAGAAATAAGTTCTTCAACACTGAAATACTGATTTTCAAGCATCCATGTTAGAATGGAAGTCTGGAAGTTAAATTGTGGCAATTGGACTTATCTTTTACTAGGTTAAAATGTTTCACTACTCATCCAAGTAGCTTCTTCTGTCTTGGATGAGTAGTGGAATGTTTCAACCTAATAAAGAAGTCCAGTTGCCATGACTCAAGTTCCCAATAACCTCACCTGGATGACTGAGAATCTTCACAGATTAGAATGGAAGATTACACCAGTGAACTCACTGAGAAAGCTGCATACCAAGGTTTCTGTGGCTTTATAATAATATCTCCTCTGACTGTGATCTTGAATTCTGAAAACTTCATTAATGCTGGAAAGTGAAAATTACTCCTATATTTTGTAATCAAAAGTAAAAAATGTGCAGCCCACAAGAGTTGATCAAGTTCCCTAGACTAACTCATTCTTTCAAATGAACTGGCTATATTAAGCCAGATATAGTAGTGTTGGTAGAATGAAGGAGGCTTTGTTATTTGTGACACGTTCTTCCGTCACTATAAAACTGGCTACAGTAATCAGGATTTTCTGCTTTGTAGTGCTTTAGGAACATGTCTGACCACAGGCGGCAAAACACAAAGAACTCTGTATGCATCAAAGGCCAGCAGTACACTTGTGTATCATTTTTGAGTCTGTTTATAACCATCAGGTATATAAAGCCTGTAGCCTTTTCCTTGATTCAATCTGAGAAAAATGGCTGCTGAGATTTTCCAGTGACTTGTTGCCCCTTCTGTTCACATTAGCCAAAATCTGTTCATTAATGTAGTAAATCACAATAAAGTAGGTCCATTGAATCAGTGGGGATTTATTGAATGAATTCCTCCATAGGTTCCACTCTTTCAAATAGGCTTACTCTAGTTGTGACTTCCTGCACTAAAGTAAGTCACATCTAGAGTGGGCCCATTTGATTCAATGGAACTTATGGAGGAGTTCACTCAACAAATCCCAACTGATTCAATAGACAGTGTGATTTACAATGCTAAGCAATAGGCTTTTAGCCACTGTCAAATTCCTCTGTCAAGTCCCTTCTGCACAAATGCAGTAAGTATTTTCAGTACACATTCTAAGATGGAAGAGGACATGATTCATTCAAACCGACAACCTAGGCACAGGTTAATTCTTTTGTCTTATTGACAAGCAGAAGTAGTCACCATTATTCTCAGTAATAGCCAGTGACTTTCAGTTACCAACCAGCATGCTGTTTGAAAAATTCACTGTTTGATTTAATACAAAAACTGCTGACCTGTCTAAAAGGGTATCTTAATTGTACTTTACTTCTTATTTTATCTGAGCAAAAATGCATGACTAGATTAGAGGCTAATGGTCCCAAATATGTGGGTATGATTCTGTATCAAGCTACTTCCTTCTGGAGCAGCCTGATGCTAGAATGTCAAGTGGCTCTTAAAGAACAAGAAACACTAAAAATGCATAACTCCACATTCTCTATCACAGCCTTAGCCTTCCATCATACTAAAATTTGGAGTTAAGTGTATTTATTTACTAGCAGTTATCTTGACAAGCTAAAGCACAATAAAAGTGATTGTGATCCCAGGATTCAATCAATGACTCTCCAAACAGCCATAGGGCCCTGACATAACTGTGACTAAGTTTTATACTCAGTTGTTTTCTTCTGTAGGTCTCTACTTCCTATGGGCTACAGACATGTTATGCACACTATTTTAAAAAGCCACAGTTGTTATATAAAACAGGTGTTATGAAATGAATTGGGAAGGTATGTGAGGAATAAATACTTGAACAGGAATAAGATTAGGAATTAAGAAAAAAATGAAGAGGTTAAAGGAGGAATCCTCTTTGCTTAAAAGTATGCCTGTGATTTAGAAACCAGAGACAATTCCAATGAACTAGAAAGAGGGTGCTTCCTGAAACAGTTTAAAGACACAACACAGTCCTTGCTGTGGAGTCTTGGATTAGAGACAGAGCTAAAGAAACTTGAAGTAGCTTTTTCCACTATACGGTGTTGACCTTATACACAAACACACTGTGTAACAGAGCACAAATAAGATTTCATTTGCTAACATTAAGCACAAATTGCTTGGCGTACACAACACAGGCTTGCAACTACAACAAGTGGATATGGTCATCTTAGACATCCATGCTGCTCTATCCTACGGGCTCTGGAGGCTGATACGAATATTTTTAAAGGAATAATGAAGCTGGACATTTTTAAAAGAATTTCCTAAGTTCTACAGCCATTTACCCTTAGTCCAATTAGCAGTGCCACTCATAATGCTTGTAAAAGGCAGACCGAGCACTAAGCTGGGAAATTGGGATTTGGGGTAGATAGATTCAAAAAGGAAAGGAAAACATAAAAGCTAACCTGAGGATGTTCTTGGCCAGTGATTGTCAGACAAGTCTTTGCCAAAGTATGGCCGTTTTTTTTTTAATTAAAAAAAATTAAAGAGCCCTTTCTGTTGCAATACCAACTTCCCCAGTCTTTGGAGACTACACAGCCTCTTGCTTACCCAAGTGACAAGCTCTTGCATATCTGCTCTACCCCCATATAAACTGATGAATGCATCATCTTATATCCCACAAAAGGCAAATAGTTCATTGCTCAAATTCTCTATTATTTAGCTGAAGTGAATAGAATGGTGCTGGAGCTCCCTATTTAAAAATGGGATGATGTCCTACTCAGCTAATTAAAAGCAAATCAATTCTTAACCTTCAAGCTAAGGCTTTTTTGCATGGCTGTCTGAAGGACTGCACAGGATTGGTTTAAATTAATCTTCCTTTATCAAAAATCTGAAGATTATTTGTACTATTTCTTCACAGCCACATACACTCATAGATGATCTGGCTAGGAAAGATGCCCAGGTTTCTGAGGAACCAGAAACAGCAGCAAGTAAAACCCACTAGAGAACCTTTGGTTTAAAACAAAATCAAACAGAAGGGGGAAAAATCCAGATAAAACTGGTGCAAGTTCTCTCATCAAAGAGGTATTTTTAAAGGGCTTAACCTTGCAGCAAGAGAGATGCAGGATCTACATCCCCTTCCCCCCCACCACTTGCCTTATTTTTAGAGAGTTACCAACTTCATTGCACAGGACTGAAAACAATTCTCATATGGTTGTTAACTATCATAAATAATGTCAAAATTATGTGCAACAAATACATCATATTTCCAAAAGAATTCTAAGAAAGTTACATCAAATTAAAAAGTAGCTTCGTGAATGAAGGTACTGCTCTTAAGTGCACTTTCCCGGCAAGTGCAGCCAGTGCCTTGGCGCTGGATATGAAGAAAAACACCAAAAACCAGAGCGCAAGCCAGAGTTAAAAACATAGGTCCAGTTTCAACCAGTCAAAACTGGACTGAGCAGAGACAGAGTAAGTTCTCATTAGTGTCCCATGAGGGAATTCTGACGATGCTTCTTCATCCAGATCATATGTCCTGTTGAGATTGTAAACAATCTTTAAGACATTTCCTTCCTTAAGTGTCCCTCTGATTGGCAAAACGAAGTTACATTTTCATTTTAAAAAACAAGAAATCAAATTAAAAACAAGAAAGGAAAAGAAAAAAGAAAACACAGTGAGCTTGTTGGAGTCCATAGGATCCGGTCCGGAAGAGCTCAGAAAGCGTGTTCAGATTTTTCTCCTGTTTTTAGCTGGAACAATACCAGAGGTTGATTGGGAGTAGAAGAGGGGAAGGTAGTAAAGCAAGAGAACACGAGGGATGTGGAACTTCTTTCTGCGAGCATTTCATGTATTTGCTTCGTCATCTGTGTCTTCTATTAACACCTTGGTATCACGAGACTTGGACCTGGGAAAACATACAATTAAAAATTGCTGAAGAGAAGTATGTTGAATTACAAAAGCAGAACCCAAGCAGCCTTATATACAGTGGTGCCCCGCAAGACGATTGCCTCGCAGGACGAAGCATTCGCTGGACGACTGAGTCCGGTGAGGGTTTTTGTGCTTCACAAGACGATTTTTACTATGGCCCTGTTTCGCAGAATGAAGCCCCCCCACTTCTGAAAGTGGTACTAGGTGTGTGCGTGCTCTTCTCCACTCCAGCTCCTCCCCCTCCCGGCCTCACAGCTGATCGACGCTGGTCTTAGAAGCTTCCCCAGGCTTGCCCAGCAAGTAAACAAGCAGTGGAAATGCACTAGGGAAGCCTCTGAAACCTGTGCTTTGCTGGGGTGCGGGTAGCTGGGTGTGTGGCAGGGGCAGGCCCGCCACCCCCCCGTGGCAAAGCGTAGCTTTCAGTCCATCTTCTCCGCTACTGGGGATGCTTTGAACCCTGCGCTTTACCGGGGTGTGGGGATGTGGCAGGGGCAGGCCCGCCACCCCCTGCCACCCCCCTCACACCCCCGCAGCAAAGCGCCCCTTTCAGAAGCCTCCTGGGGCTTGTTCAGCAGTGAAAATGCACCTCTGAAAGCCACGCTTTGCCGTGGGGGCGCGCGCGGGGGATGGCAGGCCTGCTCCTGCCACACCCCCACCCCGGCAAAGCGCAGGTTTCAAAACGTCCCCAGTGCATTTCCACTGCCTGTTTACCTGCTGGGCAAGCCTGGGGAAGCTTCTAAGACCAGCACCGATCAGCTGTGAGGCGGGGAGGGGGAGGGGCTGGAGCGGAGAAGATGGTCTGAATAGGCTTTTCTTGCTTTGCGATGATCGGTGGGAACCGATTCTTCGCAAAACGAGGATTTTCCTACAGCCGATTGGCGGTTTCAAAATGGCCGCCGGGTAAATAAAATGGCTCCCTGCTCTTTTCTGGGATGGATTCCTCACTTTACAGGCACTGAAAATGGCCGCCCTATGGAGGATCTTCGCTGGACGGTGAATTTCCAGCCCATTGGAACGCATTGAAGGGGTTTCAATGCGTTTCAATGGGCTTTTTATTTTCGCATTACGACGTTTTTGTTCTACAGCAATTTGGCTGGAATGAATTAACGTCGTAATGAGAGGCACCACTGTACTAAGCTTTATGACACCGAACCAGTATTGCATGCTGTGCTCCCTTTGCTGGGGAACTGCTAATATGACAATAACATGCAGTATATACTAGTATTCAAACCAGGGTATACACAGATCAGTGAAGTCCCTATAAAAAAGCAAAATGATTAATTTATCCAATAGTTTTTCTCTTACATTAATATAATAAACTAATTCCACTTTTCCAACATCCTGTATGCCCTAATTATGAAAATATGTACAACTGGAAATCATGGCTTACAACATTTCCTCTTTTTAGAAGATAGCTCTCAGAATCTCCCATTAAGTAATGTCTAATTAGAATGTAACTTTCACACACCGTAAGCCCTGATTGCATAAAGAAGGCATTTGCTCTTCTACAAGCCTTAGGTGAGCCGAGTGTCAGAATATGCATGGCATCAACTGGCTCATAAAGCCAGCTTTGTCTTCCAGGTACAATATTAGGACATTTGTCTAAATGAAAATTGGGGAGGGCAGAGATGACCCCTTTGTTCTACAGAGCAACAAATACATACTGTGAACCAAGACGTGGTCTATGCAAGGACACACTCTGGCTACGCTTCCAGGCCCGGTTCTTCTGGCGATTTCGGACACCATCTTCCTGGTCCATCATCTGTTCAAGCAGGGTCTGATCATCTGCATTCAGTGGAGCCACCGAGATATCCCGGACAGCACGAAACTCACCACAGTTGTTCAGGTGCTCATTCTCCAGTCGGAAGAAATTCCACACAAACCGCCTGAAAAACAAAACACAATAATAAGCTAAAAGTATATTGCAGTTGTAAAAGTTTCCTTGCAGCTGCTAAAATCTATGAGCAAAGAAACCTGAAATAAGGCCACTAGTACAGTGGTCCCCCAACCTTGGGTTCCCAGATGTTCTTCTACTGCAATTCCCAGAAATCTTCGCCACTAACTATCCTGGCAAGGGCTTCTGCGAGCTGCAGTCTAAAAATGTCTAGGGACCCAAGGTTTGGAAACACTACACTAGTGAACTAAAATTTTTTCTTTGCTGCAAAGGGTAGTGACAAAGAAAAAAAAATTGTATACAAATAGTATCAGGGATGCTTCTGTGTAGTAATATTTTAGCTCAATGATCAATAAAATTATGTGGTTTTCCTACATAACTTCAGCATAACTTCTTAATATCAGCTACAATGTCATATGATGACCAAAGCGCTAAATTCAGATACAGTTCTTTGCTGAAACCATAAAACTTAACTACAAGTCCCGGTCAAGTCTATCTTTTCTCATCTTCAGTGACCACACAAGATCACTGTAAGAACAAAATAAACCCTATTTATAGTGTTGGGAACTCACAAGCAAAAAAAGGAAATTGAGATGTCAGAGTACCAATTATCAGCAGACAAGGCTGGGTATGATCTCCATATGCCAAACCAAAGTTCAGAGACTACAATTAAGTCATGTACTGCGATTTTCCACAAACTGATTTTAACAAATTTTGTTGACTGCAGAGCAGCATACATTTTACTAGCTTTCTGAATGTTCTGGCATACTATGCAAAACTGGGCATGAAAGGTAGGAGCATTGGAGGAATCATTGTGTATCAATGGCCATGAACCAAAGAAAGGGATAGAGAATCACAGTAAATATAACTATTTCCTGTCTTCTGTATGACTGCATTCCCCTGATCACTGACTGCCTCCTGTGGCTGAGCCAGCTATATTAATGATTAAAAATAACTTTCTCTAAACCCCTGTGATAACAAGATATGCCATTATAATTTATCTTTCTTTGCTCATGGCAGAAGCACCACAATATAATTAAGAATTATATCAGACAAATTTCACAATACTGGGCAACATCAAGAACATTTGTAGCTTCTAACATTGTCTTCTATAGCAGTGGTCCCCAACCTTTTTGACACTGCAGATTGGTTGGGGGAGGATGGGGTCCATGTGAAGGGAAGGCAGGATACCTCCTATGCTCGTGCGCATACAGGTGGGGCACACTCGCTCACATGGGCATATGCACAAAGGGGCACTTGCACACATATGTGTGCATGAGCAAAGAGGTGGGGATGCTCGGGGGGGCACGCATGCATGAAGGCTCTGTGGGAGGAGTGCATGTGGGGGGGGGAGAGATCTGTCTCCGCAGCCCAGGCCATGGACCAGCACTGGGCCACGGACCGGGGGCTGGAGACCCCTATTCTATAGTACATAAATACTGACAGATGTTCTGAAAATAGTTTTCCTGCATTTTAATGTGGAAAAAGTTGGATGAGATGGTTGTTAAAGAGCAGATGTGCAATTGATGCAAATGATTTGAATCTTTCACTATAAGCTGCTACCTCTCTCTGTATGTTACTGGGTGCAATGCCTGCTGGGTAACTTATTTTACGTATGGACTGGCATTAGGCATCTAGCAATGCTTCTACAGCTTTCACATCTGCCTGTTTAGCATGGGCTGAATTACATCATACCGGGCTGTTGTATCCACTTGTAGACTTGCATAGAGTCAAAGTAGTAGTTCTTAGTGTTTGTAGTCATGTGCTGCAACTGGTTCTTGGTAGCTTTCAAAGAATATTGTTCCCTGAACAAACCTTTTGCTTTGTATTTTGATATTGGCCTAAATCTTGTTGCTTAGTATAGTAATATGCACTGGAGAAGGCCCATTGTACCAATGGGATTTGGACAGTCAACTCCTCTGTAAGTTCCATTGATACAAACAGCTATATTCTAACTGCGACTCACTTTAACATAAGTCATAGTTAGAGCAGGCTCATTTGGATCAATGGAATTCATGGAGGAGCTGACTTCTGAAATCCCAATTGATTCAATGGGTCTGCCCTACTGCGATTTATTAAGGATTAAGTCAACAGAATTTTGGCCATTAACTTATAACTGAAAGACAAGAGTCAGGGAGCCTGTAGCAAAGATATACAAGAAAACTACTTCTGTCCATTTGAAGTTATATATTGCTTATCATCATTTGCAAAGAAGTCTGCAAAACCCCGTCACTACTTATTTAACCAACACATCTTACCGGAAAACCTCAAGTGGAGCAAACACAGTAGAAATGATGTCTCCTGCATAAGGATGGATTTCCATAGCAGTGAGAGAGATCTGTATAGTCCATGCAAATCGCAGAATCACATCCTCAACAATGGCACAATAATAATAGGCCTGAAGAAACAGACAGATGTAGTCATAATAATACAGAGCTAGAATACCAATCCAGATCAAGGTCCAAATAAATATGCAGAGCAAAAGAGCCAGCTAATTCTTGGATATGCTTTTTCTGTATACACAACAGAATTTCTCTGTCACAGTCAGACAGAGTTTCTCTGCTGACAGAATAGTAATCTGCCTTCCCTATCTCATTAAGTGAGATGAAATTCTAACAGCTGGCTGAATATCACATGACAGAGCATGCTTCATTTCTTGTAATTCCAGAGCTGACATGCTTCTTGCCTGGACGGTGGTTGCCTTCTCCATAATTTCTTACCAGAGAGCTAAAGAATTTTAAATTCATAGCATAAAACACTTGCACCATGTAATAGTAGAAAGACTTAAAAGCTTAATTCAGGGAAAGAAAAAACACCAAGGTGCTCCTGGACAAGTTAGAGAATAGGGATTAAACCTGTGGTGAACATGATTACCCTCCTCCAAAGCCATTTTCAGAGAGACAGCCATGTTACTCTGTTTTAGCAAAAATAAAAATACAGTAAAAGCATTTAAGATTAACCATTTCTTTTCAGAGTGAGTTCTTATACATGAAATATTTTTCTTCAGCGATACAGAGCACAATATCTGGACTACAGGTTTGTATATAATATATGTGTGTTGAGAACGGTGAGGATGAGATAAAAGAAGATGGACATGATTTAAATTTCTACGACCTGGGTTTTAGAATTTTTTTCAGGTAGAGTAGATTGTGTTGTGGTCAGAATTTTGCTAAAAACAAGTATTTGGTTATATTTGGTTGAGAAATCCAGCTTGTTAAAATATATATAGTGTACTAAAAAGCTCTGATCTCTGTTTAATCCTCTAGATGTGTGCTGGAATTTATGAATGTAACTCAACTTCAGTTATTTCCTTCTCAAATCTTCCCTTCTGATTTATTTTTTAGTATAATAGCCACTTTAAGATCAGTAACAGAGTCTCCTGGGAAACATTCTAACACTGGCAAAATCAGAACTACTGGAAACTCTGGCAGAGCCAGAGACTGGGAATTCAATTCCCCCCATCTGTGCCTCCTTGACAGAGGCTGGGCTCAATGATCCATAAGGTCCCTTTTAGCGCTGCAGTTCTAAGATTATTAATATTTCGGTGTGTGGCTATTTGTGATGTTAGATTTGTGTCCATTTAATCTCTTGGGTAGAGACAGTCCTGCTTTATTCTATGTAGAATGCAAAGGAGTATTGCTGGCAGCTGATTACATATATCACTTTGTTGTTGTTGTTTAGTCGTTAAGTCATTTCCGACTATTCGTGTCACCATAGACCAGAGCACACCAGGCCCTCCTGTCTTCTACTGCCTCCCGGAGTTGGGTCAAATTCATGTTGGTAGCTTCAATGACACTGTCCAACCATCTCATCCTCTGTCATCCCCTTCTCCTCTTGCCCCCACACTTTCCCAACATCAGGGTCTTTTCCAGGGAGTCTTCTCTTCTCATGAGATGGCCAAATTATTGGAGCCTTAGCTTCAGGATCTGTCCTTCCAGTGAGCACTTAGGGTTGATTGCCTTCAGAATTGATAGGTTTGATCTCCTTGCAGTCCAGGAGACTCTCAAGAGTCACCTCCAGCAGCATAATTCAAAAGCATCAATTCTTCGGCGGTCAGTCTTCTTTATGGCCCAGCTCTCACTTCCATACATCGCTACTGGAAAAACATAGCTTTGACTACATGGACCTTTGTCGACATAGCTTTGACTACATGGACCTATGGTCTCTGCTTTTTAAGATGCTGTCTAGCTTTGTCATCGATTTCCTTCCAAGAAACAGGGGTCTTTGAATTTCGTGGCTGCTCATCATCTGCAGTGATCAGGGAGCCCAAAACAGTAAAATCCGTCACTGCCTCCATATCTTCCCCTTCTATTTGCCAGGAGGTGATGGGACCAGTGGTCATGATCTTGGTGTTTTTATGTTGAGTTTCAGACCATTTTTTGCACTCTCCTGTTTCACCCTCATTAAAAGGTTCTTTAATTCCTCCTCACTTTCTGCCATCAATATATCACTTTAGTAGTAAACAATTTATATCACATTAGAAGTAAACAACTAAATAAGCTCCTGATGTTGTGGATGATGCTTGTGGGACTTGTAATGGTACTGCCACAGGAGATGTGGGGACAGAGGTGACATCTTGATTTGTAGCAGAATGTTGTTCCTATCTATGTATGAATGTTGTTTTGCCTGTTAAATGCTAGTAGCTGTTTTCATTTGGGAGGGTTGTCTGTAAGTGATATTAGGGTGGCCATCCAACGGCTCTGAAGATTTAGGTATGAAATCTGGGTGTTCCCCTGGATTCAGTTCTAAGAACTGAGGCAGAAGTTTCTGTGTATCAGCTATGCCCATTCCTGGAAGTGGCTGATGGGCACCTCAGTTACATCCCATCTGGAGTACTATAACACACTCTGGGTGAAGTTACCTCTATCTGGCTCAAAAAGCTGCAGCCAGACTACTGACTGAGACTATGGAAAGATAGCACCCAAATCATTTCTTGTTAGCTTTATCAGCTATATATCTGCATCTGGGCACAATTCAAAGTGCTGGTTATTATGTGGAAAGCTATACATGTCTTTGACCCAGATTATCTGAATGACCAAGTTCTGCCATAGGAGCCTGCCTTGGTCCTAAGATGTTTGGCAGAACCCTCTCAGTCCCACCAATCTTGTTTGATTGGGATACAAGAAAATATCTTCTTGAAGGCTGCTTCTAGATTGGGGAACTCACTATGAAGGGAGGTTAGGCAGGCCTCCACCCTGTTATCCTTCTGCTAAGAAACAAAGACCTTTTTATTAAGGCAGGATGTTGAGAAATGAACTATTAAGAGCGTAGTGCTCTACCCTTTTTTTTAAAAAAGAGCTTTCATAACACATTTTTAGCTTAACAGTGGTTCCACACTATATTTTTAATTGTTGTTTTGCATTACAAGTTTCTGTATGTTGTATTTCTACCTATTTTAATATTAGGGTGAACCACCTGAGTCCCAGTCTGTGCTAAAAGGCCAAATAGAAGCCAAATAAATAAATAAATAAATAAATAAATAAATAAATAAATAAATAAATAAATAAATAAATAAATAGGCAGTTACTAAGATATTTGTTTATATTTTTCACTCATTCAGTAGCAATACAGAGTATCCCTAGAAGGAGCTGGAATTTTTAACATGTATACATTACTGAAACAGTGACGTCTACATTGGCTTGGGCATGTCATGAGAATGGCTGATGGTCGAATTCCAAAAGATCCTGTATGGAGAATTAGTGCAGGGAAATCACCCCAGAGGGAGACCACAGCTGTGATACAAGGATATCTGTAAGTGGGATCTGAACGCCTTAGGAATGGACCTCAACAGATGGGAAACCTTGACATCTGAGCATCCGGCCTGGAGGCAGGCAGTGCAGCATGGCCTCTCCCATTTTGAAGAGACACTTGTCCAGCAGGCCAAGGCAAAGAGGCAGTTCTGAAACCAGCAAAATCAGGGAGCTCGACAGGGGACAGATTGTATTTGTCTTCAGTGTGGAAGGGATTGTCACTCTCGAATTGCCTTCTCAGCCACACTAGACTCTGTTCTATGTCCTTTATTCAGAGCGTGTTATCATAGTCTATCGAAACTGAAGGATGCCTAAACCTAAGTAGCAATACACTGGCTGAAATTTAGTAGTAAGTCAACACTCGAGTAGAGCTACTGAATCAATGGAACTTAAGGAGTAATTGATTCACCAAAGCCTGATGATGTGGACAGGACCCTTGGAGAGGTGAAGGCTACCACTTGTCTCCTGGACCCTTGCCCTTCCTGGCTTACAAAAGCTACCAAAGAGGAATTGGCTGAATGGGTCCAAGTGGTAGTGAATGCCTCATTGCAGCAGGGTAGCATCCCGGCATGCTTTAAGAAGGAAGTACAGTGGACCCTCTACTTATGGAATTAATCCATATTGGAACGGTGGCTGGAGGTCGAAAAGTCTGTAGGTCGAGTCTCCATTGACCTACAATGCATTGAAAACCGATTAATCCATAACTGGCCGTTTTTGTTCCCTTTTGTTTTTTTCCCTGGTCTGTAGGTCAATTCTCCGGCTGCAAGTCGAACCTACATTTTGCGGCCAGAGAAATCTGTAACTCGAAAAGACTGTAAGTGGAGCCATCTGTAAGTCAAGGGTCCACTGTAATAAGACCATTATTGAAAAAGCTTTCCTTGGACCCCACAGTACTGGATACTTAATGGCCAGTCTCTAATATCCCATTCCTGGAGAAGGTGCTGGAGTGGGTTGTGGTTTCTCAGCTCCAGGGATTCCTGGATGAGATGGATTATCTAGATCCATTTCAATCTGTCTTCAGGTCTGGTTATGGGACAAAGACTGCTTTGGTCACCTTGATGGACAACCTATGCTGGGAACCTGATAGGGGGAGTCTGTCGGTTCTGCCGGATCCCTCTGGTTTTTGATACCATCAACTATTGTATCCTTCTGGGCTGTCTCTCTGGGATGGGATTTGGAGGGACTATTTACAGTGACTCTGGTCCTTCCTGGAAGGGGCAACCCAGAGGGTAGTGCTGGAGGAGTCCTATTCAACATCCTGGCCATTGGTCTGTGTTGTTCTCCCAGGGAGCTGTTTTGTCCCCTATGCTATTTAATAACTACATGAAACCACTGGGAGAGATTGTCCTGAGTTTTGAGGTTTGGTGTCACCAGTAGGCTGATAACACCCAACTCTATATCTCCTTTCCATCTAAATCCAAGGAAGCTGTTTCAGTTCTAAATCAGTGCCTAGTGTCAGTATGAGGGCAAATAAACTGAAACTTTATCTAGACAAAGAAGTGCTCCTGGCCAGTCAAAAAGCAATCAAGGAACAGTGTTGCAGCCTGTGCTGGATGAGGTTACACTCCCTCTGAAAACACAGACGTGCAACTTGGGGGTTCTCCTGGATTCATCTCTGGATGGCCAGGTTTTGGCGGTGGCCAGGCGTGCCTTTCACAGTTAAAACTAGTGAATCAGTTACGCCTGTTTCTTGAGAGATCTGATCTGGCCACAGTGACATGTTTTAGTTACATCTCAATTGGATTACTGTAACATTCTCTATTTCTCTTTGGGCAGGCTTTCTCTTAATAACTGGTAGTCTGAGAGGGATTTTTAAATGGATTGTCGTGCTCTGTTGCTTTAAATGTGTTTTAGTGTTGGTTTTGCTACTGCTTTTAATGTAATACTTATTTAATTCTTTTTAATATTTGCATACCTACTGTTTTTCAGCTTTTTAAATATTTATTTATTTAATGTAATACCCACCCATCTAGACTGAAGTCTACTCTGGGTGGCTTTTTAATGATGTAAGCTGCCTTGGGTTCTTTTTAAGGAAAAAGGTTGGATGATTGACTGACTGACTGACTGACTGACTGACAGAGTGTAACCTACTACTGTATTTCAGCCATCAGTTGCAAGAAATACAGGAAACCTGCACTGAAAGAGTAAGGCTGGATTCTGGAATCCCACTGTCTTGAAAGTTTTGCCTGCTGCATAAAAGCTTCTGCATGTTACATTTCACTTCATTGTTGTATCAAGCAGTAACTACTTACTAGGTGCTACATATCCTTCTCTCAATTGATGGGTCAGAGAACTTCAGTGCATCACCTGCTGGTGGTTTTTGTTTCATACCACACAGAGAGGCATGTGTATGAGTGACAGAGAGAGAGGGAGAAGGAGGGATGGGGAGAAAGAGAGATGAGGATGTTGGAGTGCAGAAAGGAAAATACCAGCAGATCTCTCAACTGCCCCATTCTTTAGTGTTCTCACAACATAAAGGATAATTATTATTGACCCTCTTTTAACTTATCTAGTCAAAGCATGCCTGTTTGAAATAGTTCAGTTTCAGTGGTCCAGACTCCTCTCCCCCAAAGCATTTTTAAATATACAGGTACATCTTTACAAAACCCATGTGCTTATACACACTTTTTGAGGGTAGACAATCTCTTCTCGCAGGAAAGTATTTTCTCCAGCATTTTTGTCGAAGAGACCCCAGTCCATTTTCAAATCCCAGATAAGGGTGTAGCAGGAGCTGATGAAGTAGAAGACGATCCACAGATAAAAGAACACTGGTGTGTCACCATGTTTTTGCACTACAATAAAGAGGAACAGAAATGTTAACTAACAGTGAGTAAACTATAACCTAGTTATTATTATT